ATTATCTCCCTACTGGGAAATCTGCTGTGTGTTACAGCTATGGATAGTCTCATGGCAGTGCAATAGGCAGAGCCTTTTAAGTAAGCTGCAGGGAGCTTATTTACAAGCACTTTCCTCCTGCTGAGGAGCTCTGTGATATTCTGGTGCAGAACAACAGGTGATCATTGATGTTTTCCCCTTTCATAGCCTGGCAACATGTGTCCTGGAAAGGCCAACACTGTCTCTTGCATGCAGCAAAAATAAAGCTGCATGTATGGATGTGATGGACTGGAGGATTTTAAAGCTGAGTGGTTTTCCACCCTCTGCACCTCGTATGTGTTCTGGGGTTGTGATGATGTGCTGTGGCTGATCAGGAGCTGGCTCTACACTCCTGCAAGGGTTCTCTACTTGGGTTTATTTTATTCTTCCAACTAGCTATACGATTGATAAGTTCTTTAGGGTCTTTTTCTCTAGAGAAGAGAAACTTCAATCATGTTTTAAACCAGTGGCTGCAGTAAATGCTTTCTTAAGTGTGAGTTTTGGAGGACTGGAGGACCATTGATTTTGGAACTGCTAACCCATGAGCAGTCAACACCTTGTGCTGAATATGTAGCTTGAAGGTAAGGCCTTTTGCCTCCCTGCAGCTGTTTTACAGAGTTGCCATTTGCCAAAAGATGGATGAAATGTCTTTGTTCAGATGGCAGATACACCTTAAATGAGAGGTACACAAGCAGCTTGTCTCCTTGATTCAGGAGGCAGGTCCAGAGGGAATGGGTTCACTGCAGGACTGCTGATCTGTTGTAGAAATACTCCTGTGTTTAATGTGAGGAATAAATGCTGCTGGCATCCAACAGGTGGCAGCTGACATGTTTTCCTGCCACCAGGAGTCGTTTGAAATTCTTCTGTTGTATTGTGCCAGAGTTTCACCTTTGTGCTGCCAGGCAACACAGGAAGGAGAGCTGCAGGTCGAAGTGTTCTGCAGTGCTCTGCAGGTTAAGGGAATTGGGCTGGATGAGCAGAAGAGGATTAGTAAATCTCCAATTAATACCTGCACCTCAGACATTGTGATTGGGACATTCCACATTAAACTCACTCTGTAGAGCAATTTTTATTACATCAGGTCTTTAATTGTTGTCTCTAACCTCAGGTAAGAACAGAATCACCTGCAGCCTCTATCTTGAGGACGTTTTCCTGACCGTGTCATTAAATTGCAACACATAAATGTCTTGCCTGGGACTGTCCTGGACTGTTTTCCATTGCCTCTGCTTTCAAGTGTCAGCTTTCAGTGAACTCTGCTAACATTTTATTATTGCATTGAGGCTGAGGCAGAGAACAGCAATTAAGGAGTTGACATATTTAATTTTTTTTTAATAGTACCTGTGTCAAAATGCATTTAATAAATCATAGTTGATGTAGAAATGCAATTAATGCTACAAGTGTAAGTAGAGTTCATTTCAGTGGGAGCAAATGAGAATTTTAAAATATGTAATAACAAAATGTGGTTGTCTTATTTTAAATACAGGGCCTGTTTCTGTGAACAGAGTCTTAAAGCCTAAATATTCCCTTTCTGTTCCAGGATACAGCTGGACAAGAAAGATACAGGACCATCACTACAGCTTACTACCGAGGAGCCATGGGCTTCATCCTCATGTATGATATCACCAGTGAAGACTCTTTCAATGCAGTGCAGGACTGGTATGAAATCAGTTATTGTTGTTTGGTTGGTTTTTGGCCAGTACTCTCCTCAAATTTGTTTGTTGAGAGCTTTTGACATCCCACCCTTCAAAGGACTTTGCATCACCATATTCTTTCCCTTTCTTCCTTATCTAAGCTCTGGCATAAATACTTGTTTTTTTTTAAACTCTCCTTAGAAAAGGTTCTGCAGTTGCACTTCAGTGAAAACTTTGTAATTCAAATATAATAGCATACTATAGAAGTTTTTGCTTTTAACAGTCCTGATTTATTGCAAAGAAATTAATAGTTTAATATATTATTTGGGCTTATGAGTTTCCTGGCTGTGCTACTAAAACAATCTAATTTAACAGTGGTTGGTTGAGTCACATCTCATTTAAAATTTAAAAAGGATAAATCTTTCCAAGCTGCCTTAAAAAGTGATTTGTTGTTTGGTTTGTTGTTCTTTTTTTCAACGTACAAATGTAGACACATGGAACAGTGTTTACCTTGCTTAGCTAGAGAGAATTAAAAATTTAACTTTAGCCACTTAAAATTTTTCAAGTTTAAATTAGTTGTGGCTATAATATGAGGAGGAAGGGCAGTGCCCAGGACAGAAAGCAAACGTGCCCCTTGGAAGAGGCCTGTCTGTTACTATAAGAAGCACCTAAACAACTCTGCAAGGCAGAGCTCAGTGTGGGATGGTGAGGAAGAGGAGTTACCTGTTAAATCGGAAGGGTGGGGACTTAGCCCTAAAACTCGCTGTGAAACAGATTCTCAGCTGTTACAAACTGCTCTGGCTACACTGGATTCAGTCCAAACTACCAGAAAATGGTTTGTGGACTTTCTGATGACAAAGAGCCAGGAAATGTTTGTGGCTTACAGTGGAAAAAGAAGGCACCAGGTGAAGAGCAGTGGTCTGCCCAGAAGAGCCAGAGCAGATGTGGCTGCTGTGGCCTTGGGCAGTGCCTGCAGCCCCTCCGAGGGGGCTGGGGGGAGATGCTTCCCAGCAGGGACTCAGCACAGTGCCTGGGGTGAAAACACGGGGGTTGATTCATGGGCTTTTAAAAATGAAAACATCTGAGCTGCTGCTGTGAGGCAGCAGCTGCAGGCACAGCACAGATCAGCAGAAGGCTGGACCCTGTTGCTGGAGCTCGTGTTCTGTCATGGGGTCCTCCCAAAGGAGCACCACAATATGTGTAGGAAATCCATGCCCTGGGGAGGCAGGGGAAAGCCCTGTCCTCAGCAGTAGCACCTCAGTGGCTCCCCTCAAATGTCTTGCAGTCACATCTGGTTGTTACCCTGTTCCTGTGTGCTGCGGGTGGGTATGGGCAGCGTGCAGAGAAAGGCAACCTGGTGGTTAATGGAATCTCCAGGGTCTGGTAGGTTGGTTTGCTGGCATCGCTGTCCAGCAGAGTCCTCTAGTGGCGATGCAACTCAGAGAGGAGCTTTGTTTTCCGTATTGCCAAATGGTTTCTTCCCTGGGTGATTTTTTTTTTTTTTTACTGCACCCTTTTCATGGATGGATGCCCTAAAGAGGGATTTGCTCTGTATCACTGCAGAAAGACTTATCTTAAACCTAGTTAAGGCACTTTTTTTCTCCTCAATGAGGAGGATCATGGTTGTATATCAGGTGTTTAGACAAACTCTTGAGATACTGTGTGATTATGAGGTACAGTCCTTCCTTCAGTCACATGAATCACCCTAATTAATGATAATTGTCTTAAAGCAGATGAAAAAGAGCAAGATAAACAAGTTAAATTGATTTGGGAATACCTAGATTGTGACCTGTTCTCCTGTTCCTTCACTGGAAGCTGTACAGCAGATTGTATGTGAAGTCTTTAAAATGAAGACTGGTTTTTTTCCTTACTACAATGTGGCAAAGATACAGTCAGGTTATTTTAGAAGAAAAAGCAAAAATGGTCAAAAGCAAAGTGGAACTTTACCTGATATTTTAAAACAACTAATTATTTTAATTTTTTTTAATAATGTCTTTCCTGTGGGATGAGTGAAAGGGTTAAATGAGCTTTCATGGCTTTCAGCTGTTTCTAGATTTTTTTAGTAGGCTTCTTGAAGAGTTATTATTTGACATTGCCTTGATAGGTTTCTAGGTAGATAAACCAGTGGTTTATACCTAATTTGAAACTGTACTGAAAGTATAATATATTCAGCATTTGATACTGTAAAGTAAATAGAAAATATTATGGAAACTCTGCTTTGGACAATCTAGACAATTTCACAGAAGGAAAGAAAAAATCAGTTAAATTTAACTCACATTTATGTGACTGCCAGGTTCACAAATCATCAGCTTTATTTATCTTTAAGGCTGATCTCTAAATTAGGTTGTTGATGTATCCATGTAACTGTGAACCTGAAGCTACTTTTCTTCTGAGCACGAAGCATAAAAAACATGCTTTATCATTAATTTGGGGAATTCAGCACAAATAAGGCACAGCATTGTTATTGTGTCACCAGAACGTTTTTCCTGGTGTGTTTACTGGGCTGCCCTGGTTAGTTTTTGAAACATGTTGCTGCACAAGCCTTTTTATTTACTTATTTACCTTTTAAAAAGCTTATGGAAATTTGCTGGCTTTCTGTTTGTATGGAGATCAGGGTTTCTTTTTGACGTTGTTCTTCATAACTTGAGGGTATTTTGTTGTTGCTGTTGTTTTTATTCTTCCTAAGAAGTGTAAATGTCAGTGTTCTCAGAGAGGTTTTTCACTAACTTAATGGCACTTGTTTTCATACGTGACATAGGATCGTATTTGGCACAGCTGCTGGAAGGTAACAACGTTTTTTCACCTGCTGTAGGGCCACACAAATCAAGACGTACTCCTGGGACAATGCACAAGTGATCCTGGTTGGAAACAAATGTGACATGGAGGATGAAAGAATTGTTCCTGTGGAGAAGGGGAAGCATCTGGCAGATCAGCTAGGTACCTGTCAAAGCTCTTCTTCCTACTCATTTTCCTCTGCTTCTTTCTGCTGCTTTCCTTTTAATTTGTACAATGAAAAGCCCTCCCAGCTGTAATAATTTAATTTAATTATGGTGTCACAACCAAGAAGTATGAATACAGTCTAGGTCTATGTTTTACTTGCTTAGTGCTCACTACTACCTCCTTGTAGTGTTGCTGTACCTGTAGAGCTAAGGATGTAATGAAGATAGTTTTTCTAGAGAGAACAGCTTTTATTTTATTTCAGAGCTCAGAGGAATTAAAAGAGAAAAAGTTTTCATAAAGACAATTCTGTCTCCAGTTCTTTAAGTACCATGTAGTCATCTTCAGAATGCAAACATTGATTTTTGTAGATTTTTTTTTTTTTAAACTGAAGAATGAAAAAAGTTTATACTTCAGAACTGTAGAGCTGAGTGAAATAAATGTATTTTTAAAAAGTATCAGGCTTCTCTAGCCAAGTGGGAAATGATGTTGTTATTGATAAGGAACAGAGAAAGTAAAACAGTTCCATTGAGAGATTGCAATGAAAATTTTAGAATGTACAGCAAAATAAACTCATCCTGATTTCTCATTTATTTATAATTTTTTGTTATATATTATCAAATAGATGATCTTTTTAATGTGCAACCAGGGTTTTAGTGATGAGATTTAACTATACTGTCATCTTCTTCTAAAGAATTCGTAGTGGCAGATAAATCCTTTACAAATGTAATTCAGTTAACAGTGGAGATCCTTGAAGTAAATATTTGTTTAGCTTGTGAGAGTGGACATTTTTACTAGTCCCAAAGGAATCACCATCATCCCCAATTTATAAAATCCCATGTTGTCTTCAATTCTTAAGCAGTAATGAGAGGGTGCATATTATATTGTTAAACTGGGGATACTGGAACTTCACTCCACTCCACACACATTGTTGAAGTTTAAAGTGCGACCTTAATCAAATTGCCAACTGTGGTTAAACCTTAGATAATGAGTAAAGAGATAATTAGTTGGGGGTTTTGTTATTGTTGTTTTGTTTTAATGAGGGGGAGGTATAGAAACCCTGCTTATAGATGAGTATGAAGTATGGCTTTGTGTCACTGTTCCAAAGAGTTAAGAATTACCAGATTATTTTTCCATGTTTCTTATGCAAAAAAACTCCAAACAAACCCAAATCAACAAACATGTATTCAAAAGCCTGAGGGTTTAGAGCCTTAAAGTGTAGATTCTATGTATGCTAAGCAAAAAGGCATCCCATTCATGACTGGAACATTGAGGCACTGTCATCATAAACAAATAATGAGCAAATACCAAACTAAACTGGTTTCCCATTATTATTATCGTAATAACAATTCTTTACATGTAGGGCTAGCAAAGCAAACAAAGTGTGGTTAGTTTGCAAAATCAGTTATGGGATCTTTTTTACACATCAGAATTTAAGATGCTGTTGAAAACATGGATAAACTTGGTTCCTGGCTTGCAGACTCCCAGAACAGTTGTGAGCACTTGTGTGCCCAATTATTTTGCAAGAGTAATTGCACTGATAGTAGTTGAATATTTGTCCAGAACAATGGAACAGCCAATAGAGTTTTACTGGAACTCCCAGTCCGGTTTAGAGTTGTTTTTTCCTCCCCCCAAAATTGTTTGTTTAAACACAAACTTGGCATCTAGAATCTGATTCCTTTACCTATGGGACCCTGCAAAACACACATGCAGGCAGAGTTACCATAGCAACTGACTCCAGCAGTAGAGAGCTGCTCTGCTGGAGGGTCCCCTGCTCCCCTCCAGACCTGTCCTTGCTCTTGTCCAGCTGCCCCTGGAGAAACCTGCCCCAGTGCAGAGCAAAACAAAAGCTGACCATGCCTTTGAAAAGTGCAGTCCCAGTCCTCTTCTGTAGCCTTCCAAAATACTAAATGCTCTTTTTAAAAGGGCTGAAAAGTATGTCTGGTTTTACCACTCAGATTTTCCTTACATTAACTGTGCTAACGTGTACAGCATTATCTGAAATTAGCTTGTGTGTTAGGTGGGAGGAATCTCACACATCAGAGTGACTCAGTCTACCAGCAGTGGCAGACTAACCAGTTAAAACAACTTTATCTTTCCCTTCGTTTGTGGCAGAATCAAAGAGGACTGATGCAATGCAGAATATGCCCCCAACGAAGCACAACACAATGTAACTTACTGCAAAATAAACTCTCTGTGGTGCTCGGGCTCTCGCTGCTGCCAAGATGATAACCTGGTGGGACAGAATCAACACCCACTCTGAGTCATGGTTGGCCTTGGAGGCCCCTGGGGTTAGGAAGAGAAAGCAATGCTTCACAGTCCAGCATGTTTCTGTTGGCTGGGGCAGGGCTCAGGCTCCTCTGTGAGGAGGCTGGTGGGGTGTTGAAGGGAGGCAGTGGGAAGAGCTGTCTGTGTGCCAGCCCTACCTCCAGCCATGCTGTTTTGTTGCAGGTTGTTTGGGTTTTTGTGTTTTAAGCAGAAAGGGTCATGCTAGATAAATTGATAAGTATTTCTGCTCAATATTCTGAGATCGGGGGAAATCAACTGAGCTTAAGAATTGTCTCATGTCTTGTTCCCTTAAAGTGAATTCTGAAAATAACAGTATTTTGAAAACCATCTCTATTACCCTGAGCTTCTGTGATTTTTATTTTTTTTTCCATTTCTTTTCCCTTTTCCTCACAGGTTTTGACTATTTTGAAGCTAGTGCCAAAGAAAACATCAACGTAAGGCAGGTGTTTGAGCGTCTTGTGGATATAATCTGTGAAAAGATGTCGGAGAGCATCGAGTCAGACTCTTCCAGGGGCACCTCAGGAAGGAGCATGCGACTCACGGACACCCCACCCCCTTCCCAGCAGAACTGCTCGTGCTAGTGACCTTTCTCACTGAGAAATGTCATTCTCCTTTCCTGAATAAATTTTATCTTTTCGTTTGTGGTGGTGACTTATCACGTAGTCCAAAGGCAGAAGCCTCTGTTGTGGGAAATTTGTGTTTGTTTGTGCTGATGTGTTAATATTATATATTTCCTCATTCAATAATTTAAGCAAAAATACAAAACCTGACTAAATATTTTAAGTCTTAATGTGAGTTACACTGGAGAAAAATGATTGTATAGTGTTGCAAATGTTGTTCCACAGAGAATGTTGCATTTTTAAATTTAATGTTAAATTCCTCTCCTGCAGAAAGAGGTTTTTTGTTAAGAACAGCAGGAAATATAAAAGCCCATCACAAGGGACCATGTCTAAAGGAAAATGGTGACAAAGTTATCTTATAAAGCAAGAATATGCCAGGCTTTTTACATAAAAAATAATAATAAATCTATCCCCAGATAGTTTGAGTCATTGTTGCTGTCCTCTAGACATGGACCTCAGCTTTTCTGTATGGTGGAGCAGAAAGCAATGTGTTTCTGTCTGGCATTTTGAGCATCTCTAGAGAGCCAAGATGGGGCACCGGGGCCAAATTTTGTGTCAAGCCTCTAAAGGCAGGAAAAGCACATGGAGACATCCAAGCTGCCAGGCACGAAGGCTGTGCAGCTGCACCTGCATTTCCCTGTGCCCTTGGCAGGTGCTGGGTGAAGGAGCAAGAGCCCTTCCAGGGGCTGCCCTCACCTGCAGCCTCTCCACCATCACCAGTAAGGGCTTGCGGGGTGCTGGGAGTGTTGCTGTGCTCAGCTCCGTGCTGTTCCTAATAATTTGTTCCTAGAAGCCCAAGCCCTGCAGCTTTTCCCCCTCTGCATCCTGCAGTTTTACCTCTCCAGGTTTGGATCCGCTCTGATCGGCTGCTTGGTGGTGGATTTGTTGCAGAGTGAAGGGAAGGAGGAACTGGCTGCTGCGTGCTTAGTTGGAGGCAAAATCTGGCATGTAAGTCTTGGAACAGCACTGTCTCAGAAAGATAAAAATATCAGGAGCCAAAATGTGAGTGTTGGCAAGTATTAGTGCCAATATTGTTAGATTTTCATTCTGCATTTTGTTGTTGATTATTTTTTTTTTTAATTTGATGCTGTGTGTGGGGGATAGTTTTTTCTGGTTTCAGATTCAACCACAAAGTATAATTTTTTTAAAAAGGAAGATTGATTCATAAAACATAACTTCAAATTAAAAATGGCGAAGACATCCTGTTAGTTACTCTATGGATGTTTTGTTGCATCATTCTTGGGAGGGAGGAACAGGTTTTCATACTGAACATCTGAAATATTCCCAGATTTCCAACATCTCTAGAACTACAGAGCTTCTCCATCTGTCTGTAGAGCTGTGTTACCCACAAGCAGAGCTTGTATTTCTCTGAAATATATGTGGAGGAACTGCTTTTTGCCAGTCTGAAATTACACACTGTGTGGCTTTATTTATGGTCACGCATGTGTTAACTGCAAAGTGTGGCTGTAAATGTAAATTAGGTGGATATGGAGAGAAGTTTGCTGTCTGAAGGTGAAAATTCTGGGAAGTTTCATGGATTTACCTGAGATCTGTGAACTCCTCCAACTGAGGAGACTTTCTGATGTCAGACACTGGAGTTGAGTATCTGCCCCCTGCACTGTGATGTGCTGGATCATGGCACTAGTGAATGCTTTTGTAATTCTGTCCTGTTGTGTCTCTGAGTGTAACAGCTCTAAGAAAAAAAAAGCACAGTATTCTGGACATAAAATGCAACGACTTGGATGTAGTTTGAGCTCATTGTGCTTTAAAGGCTTGATCCCTTCGTTTGTTTGTTTGTGGCTTCCAGGACTCTTTACTGTGACGCATTTTGGGTGTGTGTGATCTAGTGCTGAAACTGCTGATTGTGCAGCGTTAGGAATGTGGTTGTTGTATCTAAAGCCCTGAAACTGCAAAATAAAGAGAAATGTAGTCACCGGGTGTGTCCAGAGAGCTTGTGTGTGCTGCATTGCTAGTGTATGAGGCAACCTGCCCTTGCAGAAATAATGTGTCTTTTTAATCCCTTTCAAACACATCAAACTCCATCTTTCCTGACAGGGTGATGATCCTCTGCTGGTCTGAGAGTGAAAAGAAGGATTATTTGGCTAATTAATGTGTGGTGCAGTGTTCTAATTGTAGCAGAAGCAGGTTTTAAGGCACCTTGTGGAACTAGCAAAAATAAGTACCGGGTTCCAGAGCAGGGAGCAGGGATGTTGAGCTCTGCAGGTGTAATGGAATACCTCAGTGCAAATATTGATTTTTCAGCTCGGCAACTCTATTGTAAAAGAAAATTGATTCAGCAGAAGTGGAATTTCAGGTGGTTTTTTTTGTTGTTTTTTTGTTTGTTTGTTTTTTTCCCCTGGAAAACAAACCTCCCTCTTCCTTCTCTACCCAATATATAATCTCACAGATTTTACTCACAGCCTCCCTCTTCCTTCTCTACCCAATATATAATTTAGTTTCATTGTGTTCCAGTCAAATCCGGAGGGGTTTTATTTTGTTGTTTGAGCTTTTTTGTTTGGTTTAGTTTTAGGCTTTTTTAACAAATACAAGTACATTCCAGGCCCTTCAGCTAGGATGTGCAGGGTTGTTTTTTACAGCACAAGCTACAGAAAGTGGCTACATGGTAATATAGTCCAAACAACTGGAAACACAGTTAAAAGTTTTACCCTGCCCTGTACTGCTTGCTTGGAGAAACCTGGTATTTAGTGCAGGAATCTCACAGAGTTTATTTTGAATAAGAAATAAACCAATCACAGACAACTGACAAATATATAGATGGAGAGACGTATTTAATAGTTTTGCACTAAAAGTTGTGAATACAGAGAGAGCCTTTTGCCTGAAGTGGCAGCTGGTTCCATCATCACCTGGGATGTCTGGGTACAGAGCCTTCCATTTGGCTGGCAGGGGTCTGGGACAGCAGCGCTGATAAAGCAGTGCGGTTACCAGATGTGGCAGGAGCAAGAGGTGCCCGCCCTTCGCAGGTGCTCCCCGGTGCGATGGATGCAGCCCCGCGTGTGCGGATCTCCGGTAACAGCCGCGCGGGAGGCTCTGGGTCAGGCGTGGGTCTTGCCTTCCATCTCGTGGAGAAACGTGGCAGTGGAATACCAGGCAGACACGCGGTCTGAGTGTGTCAGACAGCCCCCCTCGTTTGTGTTGGTCTCCGATCCCTTAACTTTGCTCTCATCATCTTCTGCAGTCAACACAGGCTGACACGCAAGTAACAAGGAACGGGAGCGGTATTACGGGAACGGCAGAACGCGGGGCAGATGCGGGACGGTG